ACCCTCTGCGGCCGCTCGGCCACGGAGGCCAGCGTGGCCACGGGCTCCTGCCCTCCTTGGGGCTCCAAAAAGTCCGGGAAGCTTCGGACTCCCCGCTCAGAGCCGCTCTGAAAAGATTTTTTTTTAAAAAGAGGAGCTGACAGCTCCCTCACCGACACGTACAGGAGCCCGGGGCGGCTGCGGAGTCCCACGAGGGTGCACGTAGCTGCTGGCACCCACCTTGTCCGCAGCAGGGACCCGGGGGATGCGGGGACCCGGGGGACACCGCAGGGTGACGGGGATGGCGCCGGCTGCCCCCGCTCGTGGCTGCCCTCAACTCGCGCTCGCTCCCCGCTGATGCCATTTGAACGTCAAGCTGGGAGGCTGCAGGGCTGCTCTGGGGGTGAAGCAATAAACAGACAATAATAGTTCACAAGACGAGGACGTGATTTGCTTCTGGGTGTCTCCGAGAGGGAATATGCTGCCGAGGCTCTCCCGAGTCCTACTGGTAATTTTAATTTCCAGGCGTGATCACACAGGCTTGTGCGAGGCACGTTAGTCCTGGTCCCCGCGACTCGTCTGCCAGCTCGGAGGGGCTTTTTTTGGGTGGATTGGATGAAGGAGTGAGGAAATAAGCGCCATAAAGGGAACTCAGGTGCAACTTTAACCTTGTCACTATGTAATTAAAAGAAGGAAGAAAACTATTTCTGTAATTGCAAAGCTCATTAGAAGTGCAGGTGCAATTCTGCGGCTTTTCAAGCCAACTTATGGACCAATTATAGCTTGTTTGGCATCATTAAAAAGAAAGGAACCAGAGTATATTACTATCTTCCATTCTGTTTCTTTTTACCATTTTAAAATTGTAACTTCCTTCTTACCTCCTGGCAGGAAAAAAGGACAAAAAAGGACAAAACCTCCAACATAACATCTATGTTACTGACAGCTCTTAAAAACAAGCACGGCTTGATAAAACCAAATTATTTTTCCTGCTTTCCCATCCCTATCAGCTGGAAAAAACTGCAGCATCCGTGTCTCTCTCTGCAGAAAAAGCTAAAAGGACTAATTTAAATCCTTGCCTCATAACACACCTTTTTTTGGAGTTCATCATCAGATATTCACAACCCGCTCCCACAGCGCTCTTCCGCAAGTGAACGTAACATTAGCACGGACAGAATGGGCATCCCTGTTAAAAAAGTGCAAATACCACGTGTGGTTCCTTCCGAGGCTAAATCCATCCCACGTCCTCTCCTGCGCACACAGAAAGGTTTCTGGAATTAACGTCACTTAGACTAGCCTAGCCTCTTAGTACCAACTTAATATGATAATATTTAGTTCTGATTAGCACCTACCGCTGCAGCCTACGCTCAGATTCAACAGGAATTAAGCGAGTGCTTAATGTCTGGCAGAGGCTAACGCCGAGGCACGAATATTAACGAATAGGCAGCCAGTGCTGACCACATTTTCATTAATAATCGAATTAGATATGTTAAAGCATCTTTGCCCGAGTACAGCTGTTATTTGAGACTGCGGCGCAATTCTGCTGAGAGCCTGGTTTGCATATGCTGTACTGTGATTATGAATATTTAAATACTTCCATCTAGTTGAATTTCAGACTCATTTACATACATTGGCATATTGGTTAATATAATGCATATGGGGAAAAGGGTGAGCAGTGCATTTTTAATTTTTCTTGAAGAGGAATTGATTTTATGAGTGCTGAAAAGCTTTTTTTTTTTTCTTCGGGAAAATAGCTTGTTTGGAGGGGGGGGGATTTTTAATTAATTAACTGTTTGACAGGAATTGCTGGCAAAACCAAAACGCTGACTGCAAGAATGTGTCCTTTGTTGCAGAGCTTGCTCTGTCGGCGAGAACTCTTGGTAGGTGACCAAATTAATATTGCAGCTTCTTGTCGGCGCTTCTTTCGCTGACTCGGCTGCTCTAATCACAGGCAGCAGCGGGTCAGAGGAGGGTTTGCACCTGACCCTGAGGTTTCTGGCACATCTGATTTGCCCTGCAAGGAACATATATGCCACAAACCAGCTTATTTCAGCTGTTCCAAGAATTTAAATGGCTGAAAGTGCAGGGAAAATTGAGCCAGGACTTTATTTTGTCTCCCATGCTGCAAAGCAACTCTGGTTGCTCACAAACTTCCCTGAACCCGAGCTAAAGCACGTGATTTTATAAAGCCTGCTGGGGGGTTTAATGCAAGTTTTGTTGGTGTTAGGATAGATCCGGCCTTTGCATTGCTTTTCCCCTTAAGGCTGGAAACAGGCTCTAAAATTTCCATGGGATTTTTCAGGCCACTTTGTGGCACTGAGTGAAATTTGTCCTGGCAAAGCCAAGGACAGAACCTCCTCGATTTCACCAGTGGGAGAAGGGAGGAGAGCATTTTCCCTAGGTGGAAGATATCATCGAGTAATTAACAACTGCTTATAATTATTTTTATGTAATTGATTATTGCGTTACACCCATAGGGTGCTCTCTGCCTCAAAGTACCTCTTGATTCTCATTACTTCCACAAGTAAAGTTTCACAAACATGTATCTGCTCTTAAGGTCACTGGACCAGCTGAATTTTTACTACTCCGTTATTTTTGCTACTGCTTATTTTTTGCCACTTTAAATAGCAAACAAGGGGTATTATCCCAGCCAGCTCTGCTTCTAATCAGGGTTCAACAAGCCCGTGTTGTGTAAATAAGGACTTTCAGCGTGGGCCCTTCGCTCACCCGAAAACGCAGACTCGGCCATTTACGCTTTTATCTGATTTGTGCGTTATCGCCGCGCCAGGCTCTTTGCACACCGACCCCCCTTTGCCTTTCAGAAGCGTCCGGCGTGGGAAGCAAAGTCCACTGGCACACAGCCAGGCATCCAGAAACTGCCTCGACTCTCCCAGGTTTCCATTTCAGGGCCGCACGGCGCAAGACAACTCATGAGCTGATTTTTCAGAGGGTCTGACATTTACTGGAGGTTTTTTTTCCTCTTGGGAGTCCCAAGAGGCCCTTAAAGGAGGTAATCAGTGATAAAAACACAAATAAAACCAGTGCCAAGGGATTTGAAGGCAGGTGCCTTCTGAAGAGCCTGGCTCCACCAGATGGAAACGCTTTCTCCTTGCCCTTCCTACCTCACTTAGCGTTTCCACTCTTCCTTTGCAAAGAAGTCTTAGGTGTAATGGTAACAGGAGAGTGGAAAAAGGCACAAATTAGGGTCTGAAGCCAGGAACTGCTGAACAGGCTTAAGCCTGAGCAGTTCCAGCAAGCTCTGGGGCTTCAGGAGGTTGGGTTTGTGAAGACATCTGGGCTCAGGCGCTCAGAAATCACCTTCCCCTTACTGGAGCTGCTCTTCCCTTTGCTTACTTTCATCATACTTAATTACAATCCACCTTACTCCATGTTTCCGGGGGCAGATTTCAAGCCATCTTCTGTCCCACTTTAAAGGGTAAATATTTTTTTTACAGTTCCTGTACAGTTGCAAGGTGAAGAACATTTTCTAGGCATGAATTATTGATGAAGCCCTCCCAGGCACACCAGCCAACGTGCATATTCATCAGGCAGCCGGTACATTATTCATGAGAAGTTCACTTAAATAGGGACAAGAACAATGATATTGTTGATTGAGATGCCTGAAAACGAGCTTGACAAAGAGTTGTGCCCTCAAGCTCTGGCCAAAACACCTGAAAGTTTATCTAAATCACACACACACAAAAAAAAGGGGGAATTTCACACTTTAAGGGGGTATCTTTATTGTGGTCCTTTTGTTTCCATCCATATACATTATCTTTTTAAACAAGAATCTACACACAACTACTAGATTTTATCGTACCTTCTCTCTGCACAGCTCCAGACCTGGGTCTGCACGTTCTGCTGGTGCATTGATCTTTGGCAGGTGACACCTGCAACAGATTTTTATAACAGCATTTAGGCCCCATAACTCATCTGAAACTCATTAAAGATTATCATGAAAAACCTCACTCCCTTCCTTTAACCCCACGATGTTTTTAAGCTGAGGTACCTGCCAGAGCTTTGTGGAACAGGACTGGTATTTGGAGTGGGGACTGCCTGCTCTTGCAAATGCAATTTAAATACAAGGCAAAAAAGTGCTTGAATCAAAGAGGTGTTTTATTTTTATAAATCTACTGAGGTCTCTCCTGTGCCGTTGCTGGATGAAGGGGAAAAGGAGGGCAAAATAAGCACATACCTAACTGCATCTCCAGCTTTTTGGCAGTGTTTTGGCTACACTTAGGGCAAGAAGGGGAGACACAGTCACTTCAGAGAGGAACCAGTTATGTGCCCCATTTATGTTGGGGGAGACCACACTAAAGTCAGTGGGTCCTGTGGCAGGACGCTGCCCCCCAAAAGGAGAGTCTCTGGGGGCTCCCTGCTTCAGGAAAACAGAAAATGGGGTCTTACGGAGGGCCCCAGGAAGGACTCAGGGCTTGTAACAACAACCACAAGTACTTGGTTTAGAAGAACCAACATAACCCGGAGCTCGGGCTGCAGTCACCCACTGTCAGCACAGTCACCGTGCTAACGAGCAGCTCTGCCTGCTGAAGCTTCACACAGTCCTTAAGGCTTAATTAAGCTTAACAACATTTTGAGGTTACCAACCATTTCCATTGATCTTTTATGCATGAACGCAGAGGCAGCTTCTTTCGCTGGGTGCAGTTCAGGAGGAAGCAGCGAGAGAGCTGGGGGCTCCCTCACCCACCAGTTTCCCCAGTGCTGTCCCAGGCCCCGGGAAGGCTCTTGCCTGACAGAACAGGCAGCTGGGCTGGGTCCTGCTGGGGGCTGGTGCACTCTGCACTGCCCCTGGGCCATGCTGGGGGACCCCCACCTCACCTACGGGCCTGGAAGGGCAGCTCCCTTCCCCTGGACCCTGCTTATGGTCCCTCCTCAATGCTGGGGCCTGTAAGGGGCCACCCACACCCCCCAGGCCCTGTCCAGGGACACCTCCCTCCTCTTACACCCTGCACAGGGCCCCCTCTCAGCTCTACCCACTACAGACCCTCACCGTTCCCCCCCTCACCCTTGGGGATCCCACCACTACACTAGGCCCTACCTGGTGACACCCCCCCCGGCGCTGTTCAAGGTCCCCCTCACCCCTCGGGCCTACCTGGGGCCTCCCACTACTCCGGGCCCTGTCTAGGCCCCCCCAGTCCCTGCTGAGGGTCCCCCTTCACCCCTGGGGCCGGCCGACAGGTCCCGCCTAGGCCTCACCTAAGGCGCCCCCCCAGCTCAGCCCTGGGCCCCACTCGCCCCTCACCCTGCCGCGGGCCCTGGCGACCCGC